AGGAAAGGATTTTCCATAAGAGATGTCTGCGACAACCTGCAGTGCACTCCCCTCCAGAGGAGTTTCTGCTCCCCCCTCACTGCTGCTCTAGGGTTGGATTTTATGGGGGATTCACTGACTCACAGCTCAGCTTCCCTCCTGCCACACCACAAGGAGTCACTGCTCGCTTGGACAGAGTTAAAAATCAATGAGAAGAGTTCAGGGATGCACAGCATGAGACAGCAGCACAAAATGTGAGGCAGCAGGCCCCAGGGAGGAGGGGAATGGGAAGGTGAGCTCAGGGAAGGAGCAGAATGTGGCAGCAGGAGGGATTTGGGGGTTGCAGGGTTGGACACTCCTGCCCCACACCAGCTCCTCTCCACCTGCACAAACCCTGCTGTGTCACAGCAGGCCCTCCAGACTGTCAGCATCTTCTAATGACAAATCCTGATCCATGACTTAATCTCCAATCCTTTCCCCTCAATCCTTTTACTGTTTAATCTTTTCTTTGACATCAAAGGATGAGAAAGATCCTTAATCTACTGGGGCACCCTGAAAGCTGCACCCACCAAGCACCCAGAGCCAGGCTTGTGATGCAGCTGTGCCAAGGTTTAGATAATAGTTAAGGTATAGATTGGTTGTACTGTATGAAGATGCTCAGCAAAGAAAAGTATATAATACATTGTAACCAAAATTAAAGGGTGTCCAGTCTTGTGTGCAGCTGGAGCTGACAGCTGTGGGCACAGCTCTGTCATCCACCACCCTGGACTGCTGTAACCTCTGGGATGGAATAAACTGCAGTTTGTATACAATAAACTGCATTTTGGAGAGCTGCCTGGAGCTGGCTCAGGAGGCACCAGGGCAGGAGCCTGGTAGACCACTGGCAGAGCCAAAACATCTCTCGTTTTGGCTCTCCCAGTGGCGCCCAACGTGGGGCACCATCAGTAAGAGTCTGAATAAGGGATGTGGGTTTCCAGGCCTGCCTGCAGCTGGAGCTGACAGCTGTGGGCACAGCTCTGTCACCCACAACCCTGGACTGCTGTAACCTCTTGGATGGAATAAACTGCATTTTGTATACAATAAACTGCATTTTGAAGAGCCCCTGGAGTCAAACATCTCTCATTTCAGCTCTCACAGTGGCACCCAACGTGGAGCACCATTAGTAAGAGCCTGAATGAGGGATGTGGAGGTAACCTCTCTGAGGTAATAAACTGCATTTTGTATACAATAAACTGCATTTTGGAGAGCCCCCGGAGTCCCACATCTCTCACTTCGGCTCTTACATTTTCCTACCAGCAGGCATTTGCAACCAGTTCATGTGTGCTGGTAACAGAGCCAGGCTGGCAGAGGAACAGGGAATCAGGCAAATATCTGCTCCCAGGGCTGATCCAGGACGTGGAGCCAACAATCCTGACTCAGTGGATGGCTCGTGGTTAGCGTAATTGATCCCCAAGATGCTAAAAGCCATGGAAATGAATCATGAGGGTCTGTGTGCTCCCTGAGACTGCAAAAATGCTTCCTCTGACTGCAAAAAAAAAGCAACTCCCTCCAAGTAGACGTTGCCTTGATGCCCCAGAAAATGCATCAGTAAACACAAATCCAGTGGATGAGTACTTGGAGTGCAGCCAGGAAACAGTCTGAGGCAGAGCCTGGCAGGCCTTCCCATCATTAGGAACCAGGAAAACCTCCTTAACAGACCCCAAAGAAAACTTTATTACACTTGCTGTGCTGCTCAGCTGTTTGAAGCCTTCCTGAGACAGCCCTGAATAGAAGAACAGACTTCAAAGTCAAGGCAAAAGGACTATTTAAGTGCATTTTGCCTTCCCAGCAGAAGGTTTGGCAGCTGCTGCTCTCACAGGCATGAGCCCATCCTGGTTTCTAACCCAAGCAATGAGTAATTACTCCTTGAATAACAAGCAGCCAGCACACAAACTGCCTCTCCATGGTGTCTCCAGGGTGGGGAGGAAAGGAGCGTGTGGCCATGGCTCAGAATGGTTTAAACACAAAAAGCAAAAGGAGCACCCAGCCAGCTTCTCCAGCTTTGTGATTCCATCATTTTCTGCACCCAGGGGTGCTCAGCTGCTCAGCCCCTCCTTTAACCAGTCTGAGGAAATGGGCTATACTGGGAGGGAGGAGGCAGGCTCAGGTGCTGGTTTTGGAAATCTTTTACAGCAGAAATATCCCTGCTGCAAGCTCAGGGGGGGTTTCCCATAGTTCCTCCCCGTCTACATTTCTTCTGCCTCCAACAGCAGCAGGAACAATTACACAGGATGCAGAGAGCAGAAACCCCTTCCTTGGGGGCTCCCACAGCTGCCCAGCCCTGGCAAAACCTCAGTGCAGCCCTGGCTCCATCCAGGGAGCTCTCCCCAAGCCCAGCACGGTGCCTGCAGCTCTCCCTGCTCCTGTTGAGCTCTCCCTGCTCCTCCTGAGCTCATGCTGCAGCTCTCACCCATCCCCATCCCTGCAGCTCTCCCTGCTCCTCCTGAATGCTCTCTGCTTCTCCTGAGCTCTCCCCCATCCCCAATCCCATCCCCAGCTCTTCCTTCAGCTCTCTCTGCTCCTCCTGAGCTCTCCCTGCTCCTCCTGAGTATTCCTCCATTCCCAGCCCCATCCCAACCCCATCCCCAGCTCTCCCTGCTCCTCCTGCAGCTCTCCCTGCTCCTCCTGAGTATTCCTCCATTCCCAGCCCCATCTCCAGCCCTGCACCTCTCCCTGCTCCTCCTGAATGCTCTCTGCTCCTCCCGAGCTCTCCCCCATCCCCAGCCCCAGGCAGGCACGTTGTGAGCAGCCCTGCTGGCTCCGCACGTACTCCCCTTGGCTCGTGGCTCGTGTCAGGGAAACCAGCCTGTCCCCCACTCCTGCAGTGTCCCCCAGCCCTGTCACTGCTCAAATCCTCCCTCTGGGCCAAATCTGAGCTCAGCAGCCCAGGAGAAGGCGGGCTGGCAGCCACGGACCACACGCAGCTCTGCCCCTTTCAGAGCATCCCAAAGAGGTGACCCTGACGTGGCCCATCCTGTGGGATTCACTTTTTTTTTTTGAAAAATCCCTTTGCTCAGGATTTTTCTCCTGGGAAACTGAGAGGCTTCAGAAAAAGAAAACAATAATTATCTGATTTGCTTCTCCTGCATTTTACTCCTTTAAAATGTGTTTAGAGATTGTTTACCAACAAGTAGTTGTTTAATTAAATTTCTAGTCTGAGTGTTTTGACTCTTTGGCCAATCAGGGCCAAGCTGTGTCAAAGCTCTGGAAAGAGCCACGAGTTTTCATTATTATATTTTTAGCCTTCTGTCTGTATTCTCTCTGTATTCTTTAGTATAACATTCTATAACATCATACCATATCATAATAAATTAGCCTTCTAAAAACATAGAGTCAAATTCATCATTTGTCACCATGATATTTTCTGAAAAATCCCTTTGCCAGGATTTTTCTCCTGAGAAGCCTCAGAGACAAAGAAAAGCAATAATTATCTGCTGCTGTGGAATGCAACAGGTGCATCTTTGATTGGTCTCATGTGGTTGTTTTTAATTAATGGCCAATCACGGTCAACTGGCTCAGATTCTCTGGTCAGTCAAAGATTTTATTATCATTCCTTTCTATTCCTTTCAAGCCTTCTGATGAAATCCTTTCTTCTATTCTTTTAGTATAGTTTTAATATATCATTTTCTTTTAATATAATATATAGATCATAGAATAATAAATCAGCCTTCTGAAACATGGAGTCAAGATTCTCATCTCTTCCCTCGTACTGGGACCCCTGTGAACACCACCACAACCATTCCTTCCTTTGTGTAAGGGAAACCCAAACACAATCCTGTCCCACCTCTGCACCCTGACAGTCCTGGACGCTGTCAGAGCAAGGCACACACACACAGACCCCAGGCTCTGTCCCAAACCCAGCACAGGACAAGCTGGATCTCACCCACACCCACTGTCCTGGCTGTGCTCAGGCTGCAAACCTGCTCCACACCCAGCTGAGCACCTGCAGGGGATGCTACAAAGTGAAAACAGAATTTTTTTTACTTTCTAAAGCAAAGCAGGCAGGGCAGTCTGGCACCGCAGCAACAGACGCGTTGTGCCTCTGCATTTTAATTGCTTTGCTTGTCTTCCTCGGGCTGAAATTAAACACAAACACTGACTGAAACGGCTTTCCAACACGCCATCCCTCAAACCAACCAGGAGAACTTGGCAGCAAAGGCTCAGAGCCCTTTCCATCCCTGTGCCAGAACAGCCCCTCTGTGCTCAGCTGTGAGTCACACACTTCCCATCCCAGCACAGGATATCTGCCCCACACACCCAGCTCAGCCCCACCACAGCTTTCTGTCGGTGTTCAACAGCCGTTGGGCTATTTTTAAACCCATTCTGTTAAGAATTAGCATCAGAGGGAGGATGCTGCTAACGCACCGGAAAACACGTGCCCTGCATCAGGGCAGCTCGCAGCTCTGGTGGCTCCAGATCTGCTGCTTCCTCTCATTTCCTTGTGCAAAACATCTACTGGCAGATGACTGCAGATAACTCCAATATCTGCTTTTCCTTGTGCAAAATATCTACTGGCAGATGACTGCAGATAACTCCAATATCTACTTTTCCTTGTGCAAAATATCTACTGGCAGATGACTGCAGGTAACTCCAGCAAGAATGGGATAGAATTAATCCAAGACCACAGGAAAAAACTGAGTGATCCTGAGTGGGCACAAACCTTCACTGCAGCTCCCTCCAGGGCTGAATTTTTGTCCCCAAGGCCAAGGTTTAACACACCCAGGTCATCTCTTGGAAAACACGTGCCCTGCATCAGGGCAGCTCGCAGCTCTGGTGGCTCCAGATCTGCTGCTTCCTCTCATTTCCTTGTGCAAAATATCTACTGGCAGATGACTGCAGATAACTCCAGCAAGAATGGGATAGAATAAATCCCACCAGCCGAGACCACAGGAGGAAATTGAGTGATCCTGAGTGGGAAGAATCCTCACTGCAGCTCCCTCCAGGGCTGAATTTTTGTCCCCAAGGCCAAGGTTTAACACACCCAGGTCACCTCCTGGCTGTGCATGGAGCAGCCAGCCCTGCAGCCACAGCTTGTGTCATCCCTCACTCTATTTATTCCCAAGGCAGGGTGAGACTGCAAACACAGAGCAGAGAGTCCCTCAAGGCCAGGGGTGCAGTGCCTGCCCCCAGGTGCAGCCCTGGCACTGCCCCAAACAGCCCAGCAGGGCCAAGCAGCCATTTCAGGGATTGCATCCCTGCTGCAACCCAGCTGCAGCCAGACCCAAGGGTCTGTGCAGCAACAAAATGCAAAAATGAGGCCTTAACACAGGGATTGCACTGGTGGTGTGACAGCTTTCTGCACACTGCAAAGCCACCACAGCCAGAGAATCCCTTCTCTCCACCATTCCAGACAATCTGAACAGGCACAGCCACAGACAGGGAAGGGCTGGAGCCAAGTGTGGTGGCACCAGTTTGGCTCTGCTGGCCCCAACATGCCACTGTCTGCCAGGCAGCACAGAAAAACAGCTTTTGCTGGAGATCATGCCCCCGTGTGCAGAACAGTGGGAGCTTTGTGTGCAGCAGCAGATACTCCCTCAGTGCTGAGCAGGAGCTGCTCATCCCAGGACAAGGGGAACAGTGACACCCTGAAATGATCCTCCTACCTGCTAGGAAAGCCTTGATCTCTCCCCCCCTTTCCCAGGCATTATCCCCAAAGTAAAGATGTCTCTATCATCCCTTCTTAAAAGGATAATTCCAAGAGCTGTGATTACTGGAAGCGTGAACAGAGCGCTCACAGCAGACAAAAATGAGTTTTTCACAGGGATGGATGAGCACCCAAAGCAGAACAACATCTGGGGATGGAGAGCCACAGCATCCTGTGCCTGGGCTCCTGCACAGAAGGACCCATGGTCTGGACCAAGCCCATGTGCTCTGAAACCAGCCCCACACAAAGTTCCCAGCTGAGTTTTCCTAGAGCAGATCCCCTGCAATTCCTCAAAAAATGGGGTTTAGCAGCATTAAGCTCTTGTATTTTTAACAGTGAGGACAGCTGGCACCTAACTGCAAGGTAAAATGGCCTGTGCAGTGAAATCCCACTGAATCAAATGAAATACTGAATCAATCCAATGAAATACCACTGACCAGTGTGGGGGACACAGAATGGCATTTTGTCACTGCTGAGCAGGAGCCAGGGGTGAGGGACACATGAGCAAGGTCCCAACAGCCAGCAGCAGCCCCCAGGCTGCAGAGGAAGTGTCAGAGGAACGTTTAACCGATAAAATAATCTAACAGCACTCTGGGACTCCTCCCAGTCCCCCACCACAGCTCCTTGTGGGGCGCCCAGCCCAGCCCTGGCATTTGAACTGTCCAGGCCGTTAACCACCAAAAGTGTGCCAGGCATTACTCAAAGTCAGAGAATTTCACTCCTTGACCCCACCCTGCCTTTCTGCCACCGGAGCAGAGCACCAAGCAGAATGTGCACTCTTTTTACCTTGGCTCCTGGCCTCAGGCTCGGGCGATCCTGGGGGCTCACAGAACTCCTTGAGGGGCGAGCAGGCCGGTGTTTGTGCTTCAGGGGTCTCAAAATTATCGGTGGAGTCCGAGCTGCCGAGGAGAGGGGGGAAAGAGTGAGGAATTACGGCTTTCAAGGCTATCTCTGAAATCCTCCAGCCAGGCCCCAGGCTGGCCGCGGGCATCCCCTCGCTGCGGGCCATGCTGGCAAAGGGAGAAGGGAGAGCAGGTGAAACATCATCGGCACATCGGCCTGTGCTCCCCAGCCCTGCGGGAGGCTTTCAGCCAGCTCTGAGCACACAGCACGGGCCTCCAAGGACACG